GACAAATGAGAGGCGGGACTGAGGAGCTAGCGCTCGAGCGAGCAAGCAGGAGAGGAAGAGAGCGTGCAAGCAGCAGACAAGGTGCATAAGAAACACAGGAAGGGAAGCAAAACAAGGGCTTGTCTTAGACATTGCCGGAGAAGACAATTAAAGACTTCATCTCCAGGTGTGTGAGACGACGGGGAATTACAGGGAGAAGAACAGACAGGTGATTTGGTGCGGTGGTGGTGGTGGTGGTGGGCGGGGGGGCTTGTGTGGGGAGGGGGGGGTGGCTTGTGGGGGTGTGTGTGGGGGTAGGCTTGTGGGGGGGGTAGGCTTGTGGGGGGGGGGCTTGTGGTGAAGGTGTGGGGGGGGAGCCTTGTGATGGGGAGGTGTTGTGGAGGCTGATGGTGGAGACGAGGAGGAGGAGGAGGAGGACGAGCTTCAACTCTTGGACTCCACCTTTCCACCAATTAGTTACCTAATACAATGACTCCTGGCCAAGCTTGCTCTCTACGACAATATAAACTACAAGCGTAGCTGGCTTCTGTAGCCTTATCGTGTAGTTAATTCATCAGTTTCCCTTCAATAATGCTAAAGAATACTCTTCCCTTCATTACTGTTCATCTGAGTCTCCAGCTTCCAGCCATTGCCTCGTGCACTACTGGTATAAAGGTTAAAAACAGTTCCTGAGGATTTTAGAGGTTTCGATCATGTTTCCCCTCTCTCTCATCTTGTCTGTCTACATTTACTCCTCCTTCATCAAACATTCTTCGTATCCCATCCACTGTCCTTCTGAGACGAATCTCGTCGCAAACTCCTGTGCACTTTAAAGCTTCCGTGTGAGGTGTGGGTTATTGTTATAGATTCACCTATTCGGAAGAAGTTCCAAGTAGCACGGGCTATGGTGAGCCCGTAACTTACCTGGCACAGGAGCGGGGCAAGTAGCACGGGCTATGGTGAGCCCGTAGTGAACTTACCTAGCACAGGAGCGGTGCCTCGACTGGAGGTGTGGGCCCGTTGCCCGGCCTAAATATGTCATGTATAGGGTGTGGAAAAAGGGTTTTCGGTCCTGTAGAGAGAGAGACAGGGAGGGATGGGGTGAGGAAGGGACGGAGGGGAAGGGACGGAGGGGGAGGGAGGAGGAGGAGGCATCCGGACCAGGAAATTCAGGAGTAAACTTGGGCCACAGGCGGCTGTGACTGGTCGGTGAGCGGCCGTAAAAGGGAGCCCGGGTGCAAGGCGTTAAAAGTGTGGTCGACTGTAGCGAAAGAGCGACAGTGATTTTTATAGCAAACCAATATATGTGGTGACAAGTACAGAGCGGCACCCGAGGGGCCGCGGACAAGCGAAGACAAACACCCGAGGGACCGGACATGCACTGGGAAGCACCCGAGGGACCAGACAAGCATAGAGAAGCAACCTTGTGACCGGACAAGCATAGAGAGAAGCACCCGAGGAATGAGACAAATACACAGGAATCCTATAACCTCTTAACATATGGATATGGGAGGTGGTGGCGCAGTGGACAGCGCTCTAGACTCGTGGACCTAGGGCCGGGGTTCGATCCCCCGGCACCGCCGAAAAAAAAACAAAATGGGCAGAGTTTCCGTCACCCTGATACCCCTGTTACCTAGCAGTAAATAGGTACCTGGGAGTTAGACAGCTGTTACGGGCTGGGTGTATGCCTGTGTGTGGAAAAAAATAGTAGTAGTAACAGTTGATTGACAGTTGAGAGGCGGGCTGAAAGAGAAGAGCTTAACCCCCCGCAAACACAACTAGGTGAATACAACTAGGTGAATACAGGAACCCTATAACCTCTTAACAGTGCCCAGCTGTCTCCGTATCTAAGCAACCTCTCATTCATGAAACAGTTTACCAAAAATGTCCTGGAAACTGAAGTATGATCAAGCCCCTTGCCGTCACCTGGCTCCGTGCAGGGCACTGCCCTACCCCGCCTCCTCCTCCTCCACGGGTGCAAATGATCTCCGTACTGAGTGAACGCGTCTGGGCCAGGCGTTTACCGCCAGTTCTGTACATACGGCGTGAGCTGGGAGCTGTTTGTTTGTCTTTACTCTCCTGAGAGTGGCGGCAGTTTGGCGGAGGTCAGCGGGAGGAAGTCAGTTGGGAGGGAGGAAGTCAGTTGGGAGGGAGGAGGTCGACGGGAGGCGTCGGCTGGAGAAGGTAATCGTCCTTACTTCCTCTCGCAACAAGAGCCATTCTCGTCCCCGTCTCGCTGACGCGGTGTGCGCCGGATGACCCCCTTAGGCTCCATACCTCCGCTAAATAAATTCCCTCCGAATGGATCCATAAATGTAATTGCTGGTAGCCGCTGCGAGTACTGATGACATGTGGACTGAGTTGGCCTGGCGTTTCAAGGGCGGGTGAGGACGGGAATTACGGGGCCAATCCAGGAGTTGCAAAGTGCGTGTGCTCGAGTCTGGGCTTCAAGGGGTAAAAACCCATGAAGACTGGAGTGGGTCAGAGTGACGAGGGGAAACTTGGCGGGGTTGAGGGGGCTCTAAAAAAAAAAAAAAAGGTTTGGGATTAATTTTCTTGACATGCAAATGAGAAAAGTTCATGATTACCGAATTTGACTGAGCAAATAAATCTTGCGATTAAAATGGTGCCATCGACGATCTTGCCAGGTCCGCCTGCTTTTGTGAGAGAGAGAGAGAGAGAGAGAGAGACAGAGAGAGAGAGAGAGAGAGACAGAGAGAGACAGAGTGTGTGTACTCATCTATTTGTGCTTGCAGGATCGAGCACTGGCTCTTGGATCCCGACTTTCTATCCGCTGGTTGTCTAAAGCAATGACTTCTGTGTCATTTCTGTGTGTGTGTGTGTGTGTGTGTGTGTGTGTGTGTGTGTGTTTACTAGTTGTGTTTTTGCGGGGGTTGAGCTTTGCTCTTTCGGCCCGCCTCTCAACTGTCAATCAACTGTTTACTAACTACTATTTTTTTTTTCCCCACACTACACACACACACACCCCAGGAAGCAGCCCGTGACAGCTGACTAACTCCCAGGTACCTATTTACTGCTAGGTAACAGGGGCACTTAGGGTGAAAGAAACTTTGCCCATTTGTTTCTGCCTCGTGCGGGAATCGAACCCGCGCCACAGAATTACGAGTCCTGCGCGCTATCCACCAGGCTACGAGGCCCCTGGCCCCTACGAGGCCCCTGTGTGTGTGTGTGTGTGTGTACTCATCTACTTGTACCTGCAGGATCGAGCTCTAACTCTTGGACCCCTGCTTTTCAGCCGTTGGTTGTCTAATACAATGACTCCTGGCATATTTCTCTATCATACCTGCTTTTAAAGTTATGAATGGAGTAGCCTCTACAACCTGCTCCTTCAGGTCACTCCATTTACTCACTACCCTTACGCTAAAAGAAAATTTTCTAGCATCTCTATGACACATCTGAGTCTCAAGCCTCCGTCCCTGCCCCCTGAAGTGTACGTGCCTCTTGTATTCACCTAGTTGTGCTTGCGGGGGTTGAGCTCTGCTCTTTCGGCCCGCCTCTCAACTGTCAATCAATCAACGTTTTACTAACTACTAATTATTTTTTTTCACTTCACACACACACACAAACACTCTGGGTTCAGAGATGGTAAATCGTGCCTCACAGGCCTAATAGAATTCTATGACCAAGCAACACAAATTAGGCAGGAAAGAGAAGGGTGGGCAAACTGCATTTTCTTGGACTGTCAGGGAGCCATTGACACAGTACCTCACAAAAAGCTGTTACAAAAGTTGGAGCAGCAGGCAGGAGTAAAAGGTAAGGTGCTCCAGTGGATACGGGAGTATCTAAGCAATAGGAAACAGCGAGTAACGGTGAGGGGGGAGGCATCAGAGTGGCGAGATGTCACCAGCGGGGTTCCACAGGGCTCTGTACTCGGACCCAACCTGTTTCTAGCATATGTAAACGACCTTCCAGAGGGTATAGACTCATTCCTCTCAATGTTTGCTGACGATGGAAAAATTATGAATAGAATCAAAACAGATGAAGATAGACAGACTACAGAACGACCTGGACAAACTGGAGGAATGGTCTAGAAAATGGCTGCTAAAGTTCAACTCAGGAAAGTGTAAAGTAATGAAATTAGGCGAAGGGAGCAGAAGGCTGAACACAAGGTACCATCTGGGAGGCGAAATCCTACAAGAGTCAAATAGAGAGAAAGATCTGGGGGTCTATATCACACCGAATCTGTCCCCAGAGGCCCACATCAAAAGGATATCATCAGCGGCATACGCTAGACTGGCCAATATAAGAACTGCCTTTAGAAACTTGTGTAAGGAATCGTTCAGGGCCCTGTATACCACTTCTGTAAGACCAATCCTGGAATATGCAGCTCCAGCCTGGAGTCCATACCTAGTTAAACACAAGACGAAGTTAGAGAAGATTCAGAGGTATGCCATCAGACTGGTCCCGGAACTGAGAGGAATGAGTTACGAGGAAAGGCTAAGGGAGCTGAACCTCACAACCCTGGAAAACAGAAGAGTAAGGGGAGACATGATAACCACCTACAAAATTCTCAGGGGAATTGACAGGGTGGACAAAGACAAACTCTTCAGCACGGGTGGAACACGAACAAGGGGACACAGGTGGAAACTTAGTACCCAGATGAGCCACAGAGACGTTAGAAAGAATTTTTTTCAGTGTCAGAGTAGTTAGTAAATGGAATGCGGTGGTGGAGGATGATGTGGTGGAGGCTGACTCCATACACAGTTTCAAATATAGATATGATAGAGCCCAGTAGGCTCAGGAATCTGTACACCAGTTGATTGACAGTTAAGAGGCGGGACCAAAGAGCCAGAGCTCAACCCCCGCAAACACAACTAGGTGAGTACAAACAGGAAGCAGCCCGTAGCAGCTATCTAACTCCCAGGTACCTATTTACTTCTAGGTAACAGGGGCATCAGGGTGAAAGAAACTCTGCCCATTGTTTCTCCCAGGCTGCCGGGATCGAACCCCGGTCCCTAGGTCTACGAGTCTTGAGCGCTGTCCACTCAGCCAGCTAGCCCCCCTACTCGTTGAGTCAGCATGTGTGAACAGCTCTTCCCTTACCTCACCTCTACCCCCCACAGCACCTCACCCCGCAGCACCTCACCCCATACTGAGAAGTTAGCCAATCAAGACGCCACCACTGGCGGCTGCCAGACGTACGAGTCTCCGCCCGCCGACAGGACACAATTGGATGCACTTGTCGGCGCCTTGTAATGGGCTGTTTGCGATTGGAATAATTCAAGCCGGAACAATACAAACACTCTATTCCCTATTGCTTGTTCGAAACACCAACTGAAGCTTGTGTGAATGTGTGTTTGCACGTCTGTGTAAACACAGGTTTGAGGTTATGTATACATAAGCTAACCTCCACCACAGATATCCTGACAAACAGCACCAAAATAATGGACAGATACAAGCACGATAGAAGATTGGACATTCGGCGAGGCGCTGTACATGAAGCAAACCAAGCCACGCATCAATAGCAAACACACACACACACACACAATCAGATCTAATCGCAACTAGGAACCCCCCCTAAAAACCAGGAGGGAGGGGGAATGATTGTAACGAGCAATCTGCCACGGTGGTATCACGGCCAGGAGACATTTAGAGGGTCACCTGCCGGAGCCACACCTGCCGGGGGCCACACCTGCCGGGAGTCACACCTGCCGGGGGCCACACACACCAACACTGAGCCCCGTAAAGCCAAGGATTCACACCCATGTGTCCAAATTAGCAGTGCATTATGGAACGATGGGATGCGGAGGGATACAAGGCGTCACACAGGTGTTCTGGGATGGTGTAGTGGTATATGAAGGACAGGTGTGACACAGGTGTAGGCAACGGCAGTTCCTTATTACAGGTGTCAGGGGGGGGGGTGTCCATGTGAACTTCATATAGGTGAAGGAGGCACCTGTATACCTTATAAAAATCTAGAGGGGTACTTGTGTTTATTATACACGTGTCTCTCTCACTGTCCCGGCCCTCGGCGTAACACCTCGCCAGCAGCCTTCGGATATGAGTACTGCTGGGGGCGCCGCCCTGTAGCAGGGGCGCCCCACCTGCAGCAGGGGCGCCTCACCTGCAGCACGGAGCCCTCCCACCTGCAGCAGGGGGCCCCTCACCTGCAGCAGGGGGCCCCTCACCTGCAGCAGGGGGCCCCTCACCTGCAGCAGGGCGCCCCACCTGCAGCAGGGGGCCCCTCACCTGCAGCAGGGGGCCCCTCACCTGCAGCAGGGGGCCCCTCACCTGCAGCAGGGGGCCCCTCACCTGCAGCAGGGGGCCCCTCACCTGCAGCAGGGGGCGCCCCACCTGCAGCAGGGGGCCCCTCACCTGCAGCAGGGGGCCCCTCACCTGCAGCAGGGGCGCCTCACCTGCAGCAGGGGGCCCCTCACCTGCAGCAGGGGGCCCCTCACCTGCAGCAGGGAGGGCCCCAAGTAACACCACAAACTCGTCCCATCCACCGTGCTCCGCTGAACGTCGGGGCGCTCAAACAGCGTCCATAAATAGTGTGCGTTTTACTCCAGAGGAATAAACATATACGCAAGGGCTCACCAAGAGAGAGACCACTGCGTCGTTTACTGTCACTAACTGTACATCTGGAGACTGTAGAGCTCTTGCGTCTGTACTCATGAATGGCCAAGGTGTCATTAACCACGCACTTGACAAGCTAAGAGACAGGTGGGGAAGGCGCACTCGTAATAGCGTAGTAGTTAAGGATATACTAGACAATGTATCTTACCTAAGCAGGCCCTCAACTTCCAGGATACCAAAATATTAGCTTCATGACTCAATAGCATCTATCACATTATAATAATAATAATAATACTTTTTATATTCAAGAAGGTACAGTGGGATGGTGAGATTACATAAGATTACTATTTTAACATTCACGCAAAGCCACTAACACGCATAGCGTTTCTGGCAGGTCCTTAATCTAACATATCAGGTAAGATGAAAAGGTACATTGTAGCAAGATTTTATATCAATAAATAACTACAACATAAGTTGATAAGAGGTGATTACACTGATAAGGATATATGTCTTAAGTACTAATATTGGAGAAGTGGGTAATACAAGATACAGTGTGAGTTTGAAGCACAAGGTAGGAAACTATGAGGATGAAATTAGGTACTTTTTGGAATTATTTTTGAACAGGGCAGAGGTTGGACAATTTTTTAATTCATCAGGGAGTTCCAAAGACTGGGCCCTTTTATTTGCATGGAGTGTTTGCACAGATTTAGTCTGACTCTGGGGATATCAAAGAGATATTTATTTCTGGTGTGGTGCTCATGGGTTCTATTACATCTATCAAGGAAAAGTTTCAGATGAAGATTATTATTTAGGATCAAGGTTTTGTACATGTAGATAGCACATGAGAATGTGTGGAGTGAGTGAGTGTATGTTTAGCATGTGAAGGGACTTAAACAGAGGGGCTGTGTGTTGTCTGAAGACAGAGTTTGGTACAGTTCTGATCGCAGGTTAGAGATACATAAAAATGAGTTTGAGTGGATATAA